TATATATATATATATATATATATTCTCCATTTCTCTCGAAACAAATCAAACTACTCTAAAATATTTTAAATGCATTAAATTCTTTTAACTTATTTTTCAACATACCAAAATAGGCAAAATTACCCTAAAAACAATGAATAAATTAAAGTTATTTGAAATTAATTTTCAAATAAAAAAAATATTTTGTGGTAACTAATCAAGTGTTTTCAATTAATTATGAGTGTTTAATACATCTAATACTATTTTATTTATTTATTATCCTACATTTAATTGACTAATCTTTATTTATAATATTGATCACATATTCGCATGGGAAGTGCAATCACTTTTTCATGTTTGCTTATTGATAAGTTTTGTCTTAATTATGTGTTTATCATATTAGCAAGTTTACAAAATTCACTCATGATTCATGGATGGTATTAAATTTCTTAAAATAATTTATATTAATTAAAATTAATAAGTTGTACCTAAACTTTTTTCTTAATAATTTAGTCATTATATTCAAAAATATGTTCAGACGAATATCGAGGACATTCAAAGGGTCTCGCTCATGAAAACCAAAGGACAATGCCTCGAGATAGATAAAAGGTGGAAACACCAAACGTCAATTCCTTTGATCGGAACTTTGACTTGATCAAATGGAAGCACAATGGAGTGAAGAAATAAAAAGAGCTCAATCCAAGGGAAAGTCTTTCATAGCCAACTCCCCCAAAAAATGGCCAAAAGGCACCCCATAGAGCGCCCTTGTGATCCTCTGAGAAGATTTGTTGTCCAAGGAGAGTTGTAAGTCCGACTACGGTGATATACTATTTGCTTGACCGGCTCGCCCTAAATACAAGAGAGCCTCTACTCTGGCTTCCCAGGAAATGGTTGACCCACGACCTTTCGACCGACAGAATATCTATCGGCCAACAAAAAACTATCAATCAACCGAATGACAATATTACATGGTTGTTAGATGCCCCTATTCAAGCACTTATGAATACTAAATAATGTCAATGTCAATTATGAATATAAAAGGGTGATGATCTTGATTACAAATATGAAAATATGTAATAATGACTCATAAAATCCCTATTAAAACAAGGACTAACCAATAGTTTTATTAAATATTTCTTGAACCCATAACTATCGTTCATCTCTACAATAATGAATTACTGAATCAACTCTCAACTCCCTCCCTCCCTCCCTCCCTCCTCTATTGGATTCAAAAACATATATATATTAATACCAAATGCTCATATATATATATATATAAAGCTTACAAATATTCAGAAGAAGCTTCCGATTCTGTGCGTCATCCCTTCAAAAAAAAATCTCTAAATTTGGTGACCTAATTCTTTCCCGGCCATGTATTTCCTAACTATATTTTGGTTGAAAGAGGAGAAATTGATAGCTGAGAGATAAGTCTTCGTCGGAAATAAATATTTGTAAGCTTGTGGAAGCAAACAAATTCAAAATCAACTTTAGATTTAAATTTCTGACGCAGACACTCCAATCAAATTCTTATATTTGCACTTGCAAAATTCTTCCCAACAATTCTTTTATTTATTTACAAAATCGGGAAGCTTCTGCTGAATGTCAACCACCTGACCGAACGAAGAGAAACAGGGTTAAAGTCAAAAAAGGTTTTTAACTTGGGTGGTATAAAAGTAAAAAAGCAAAATATAGGTGTTAGATATGTAAATACATAGGAATTGGGTGGTATGTACGTAAATGCCCCTTTTTCCTTAATATCTCAGGCTAATTATCTCTTTTGTAATTGAAGTTGATGGCAACGTTATTCCAAACTATATTATTTCTATCACTTCATTTAAAAAAGGGCTGCTTAAATATTGCTATTTACAAATATAGCACTTTCTTTCACTCATTTTTCAAATTTTCAACCAAATATCAAAATTCCCCATGTTTTCATTTTTTCATGAAATTCCCAATGATTTGAACCTGGCACATGTAAATGCCTCGCTGCAGTAGTTCAAAAATATCAACTGGGTGCTAGATTTTGTAAATAACAATGTTTTAGATGTTATTTATGTAATTATCCCTTAATATATATATATATATGAGTGACTGGTATCT